TCATAATATCGGGTAAATATATTTGTTCCGATGGCGTCCTAATCAGATCAATGTGTTTGAATGGTGTCGTATCCCAACTCAAACTTTCGTCCAGCCTATCAATCATTAACATTATTAACATTCAAACATTTCATTTATTAAAATTTTATAATTTTAAATAACTATAGGACTAAAGGCTAAAGAACTAAAAAACTTTTTAAGCATAAAAACATCATTCATACCATTCAAACTGTAGCCATCCCTCTGTGGTCAATGTTTGCCTCTTTATATCCTATTATGAAATAAAATGGATTCAACGATAATGTGATCACAAGAGTATGCATTGCTTACAAAATTAGTGATATGAATAAGACTGTAATCAATGGTCACATTAAACGTATGTGTCTTAGGTATGGGTCGAGCAAATCGGTCGTAATCTCGGGTCACAAACAATAGTTTTCGCAATTCTTTTAAATCGGCTGATAATGAGACAAATTTTATACATTTGTTTTCTAATTATTTATATATCTTACCTGTAGTAGCATTTTTGTGGACTTCATTATACGCTGTGATAAATGTAATGTTGAGCACAACTATCACTATTAGTGCTCTCATAGTGATTGTGGTTGATTTAATTTTTAGTTGATATTTTTTTACTTTAATAAGTTTTATTAAAAACCCCTTTGCCTGCAATTTTAAACATTAAAGTATTTGCCAAAAATATGACTAAATTTGATACAAAATCTAGAAATAAAGACTAAATTTATAGCAAATTCTTTCAAAAAGAAATTGCTTTCATATAATATGATTGGATTGAATATTACATTCAATTGACATTTATTAGATATAATTAATATTAATATATCCGGACTTAAACTACATAAGGGTATGCATTAGAGATTCTTTACGTTAATAAGTACTTTAAGTTCTGTTTCATAACAATTATAATAATTTTAAATACAATATTTTTATATTTTAGTAAACATAGTTATTAAATGTAAAGTAAAAGTAGTTTAAAATCAACTGTTAACATGAATATACTATAGTTTAAAATCTGTAGATTCTAGATGTGTACTTATGAGTCTAGGACATTTTGGTTCATAATAATTTGTATCTAGCATAATTAATCAATTAAAAAATTCATTTATTTGTTCAAAATAAAAACAAAGAATTCGTCTAGGTTATTGACAACTACCTTAATTAGTAATAATAATTGTTTTAATAAATTATTGATAATAGATTAACCAAACTTTGTGTGTCATTTGATTTAAATTAAATTAGCGCTAAATGATCTGATATTCAATTTATAAATGTACAGCTCGTCTAACATTTCTGTCTTGAATATAAAGTGAATTAAAATAAAACAGTTTATAACAAACATATAATTAGTCAATCATTTTATTTAATTTATATTTATAATTCTGATACTAATCGCCCCATAAATATACTAAGAGATTCTTTACGTTAATAAGTACTTTAAGTTCTGTTTCATAACAATTATAATAATTTTAAATACAATATTTTTATATTTTAGTAAACATAGTTATTAAATGTAAAGTAAAAGTAGTTTAAAATCATTATAGCAACTGTTAACATGAATATACTATAGTTCAAAATCTGTAGATTCTAGATGTGTACTTATGAGTCTAGGACATTTTGGTTCATAATAATTTGTATCTAGCATAATTAATCAATTAAAAAATTCATTAATTTGTTCAAAATAAAAACAAAGAATTCGTCTAGGTTATTGACAACTACCTTAATTAGTAATAATAATTGTTTTAATAAATTATTGATAATAGATTAATCAAACTTTGTGTGTCATTTGATTTAAATTAAATTAGCACTAAATGATCTGATATTCAATTTATAAATGTACAGCTCATCTAACATTTCTGTCTTGAATATAAAGTGAATTAAAATAAAACAGTTTATAACAAACATATAATTAGTCAATCATTTTATTTAATTTATATTTATAATTCTGATACTAATCGCCCCATAAATATACTAAACACGGTTATACAAAATGAATTATAATTAAAATAGTCTAAAGTTAAATACGAATACAATTTTACGATATTTAGATAATAGATGAAAAACATTGAAGTGTTTTAAGCGACAGAATTGATAACAATAGCGAACGCAAAGACAATGAAAACAATTTTATCGATAATGAATGTCAAGTCCTCGGCGTTGGGCTGACCGGACTTCTTGGTGTCCTGTAATTGTTCCGATTGTGTCAACTGAATGCTCTCGTGTTCAGTGTTTCGGTACATTTGCAGCAATGGTTTCGTAAACCTTGTGGTCCATAACGGGATCTCACACTTCAATAGCGATATGTTGTACGCAATGGTTAACCATATCTGTAGTAATCCAACGAATAGTAACGACAAACTTAGAAAACGAACTGAAAAAGCAAAACATAATAAAATAAATGAAAATTATAATTGATTTGTAGTGAACTGACCCGCAATGGGAACTCCGAGTGAACTAAAACCCAAATGAGTTCCCAAATAAATGAGAAGTAGAGTTAGGGTTAGAAAACTGAATGAATTCAATACAAATCGTATGTTAGATCGGATGGGAAACCAGAATGTGATAAGACTTCCGATGATAGCCATGAGAGCCGGGATTGAAATAATGTAGTGATAAAGAGTGGGTCGGCGTTGGAGTCGGAAGTAAAAGCTTACCGACGGATACGGCTCTTTACAGCAGTCGTAAAACATCACTTTTCGCGTGGCGTTTATGAAACTCACCTCAAACTCAGTGTTCTCGTAGTAATCACTTAGAAATTGTGGTTTCTTTCCATCTGATTGTCAGTAATAAATCATGTCATTTATAAACATATTTATCTTATATATTGTCTAATTAATCAAAATATTTCTAAATATGTTATTTTTAAAACAATTATTGTTGTATTGTTTTTACAAATAAAAAAACTTAAGTACAAAACAATTAATAAATACAAACCATTTTTAGGGAAAACATCTAGTACATATCCATCGTGAGTCCACGAACCAAACTTTATAAAACAAATGTGTTCATCGTATGGCCACCTCTTCAGGTTGACCCGACACAGAGGATTTAGTGTCATTGGAGGTACCCATAAGACATGACCATTCTTATAAACAAGCGCTTTGGTATTTGCAACTTTCTGTGTGCCGTAATCGATGTCATTATAGCTCATAATATCGGGTAAATATATTTGTTCCGATGGCGTCCTAATCAGATCAATGTGTTTGAATGGTGTCGTATCCCAACTCAAACTTTCGTCCAGCCTATCAATCATTAACATTATTAACATTCAAAC